AGCACGTGCCTATAGTTCCAGATACTTGGACAGGCTGAGGCGGAAGGATCGCCAGAGCCCGGCAGGTCGAGGCTGCGGTGGCCGGGAGCGGCCACTGCACTCCAGTTGGGCGACAGAGTGAGACTCCAACTCAAAAAAAAAAAAAAAAAAAGACCATTTCATTGTATTACATTGTCAGCAAATGTTTGTGAATCCAAGGCCCAACCAGAGAGTAGGTTAAGAAAAAAGGATTAAGCCGGCTCGGTGGCTCAGCCTGTAATCCCGCGCCTTGGGAGGCTGAGGTGAGTGGACTGCCTGAGCCCGCAGGTTCGAGACCTGCCTGAACAAATGGCGAGACTTCATCTCTACAATAAATCAAAAAATTAGCTGGGCGTGGTAGCACACGCCTGTAGTTCCAGCTACTTGGAAGGCGGAGGCGGAAGGATCGCCGGAGCCCAATGGGTCCAGGCTGCGGTGGCCGGGAGCGGCCACTGCACTCCAGTCTGGGCGACAGAGTGAGACTCCAACTCAAAAAAAAAAAAAAAAAACTTTTGTAGAGTGGGTCTGGCTTTGTTACGTAGGCTGGCCTCGAACTCCTGGCCACCTCGGCCTCCCAAAGTGCTGGGATTACAGGCGCGAGCTACCGCGCCCGCCGCAAAATGTTTTTAAGACAAGGAAAAAGAAAACAGACAGGTACAAGCCCAGAGCGTAGTCGGCTGGGACCCAATTGTCTACGGTCAGCGTCTTCGTCAGGGCGCTCTTTCCAGCCCGGAAAGCTTTCCCTGAGAGACGTGACGTCAAAAGGCAGCGCCGGAAAAGAGAACACGGAATATGCGGCTGCGCCTTAACGGCTGCTCTGGGGCGGTGATTCGTGTTGTGTGGCCTGTTAAGTGACCTGCGTGTCAGCTGCAGCGCGGATTCTTGGGAGTCGTTTCACCGCGGAGTCCTGCGTCCTTCGAGTCCGTCCACTTTGGACCAGCGAGAGCCACAGTATCTGCGTTCCTGGTAAGCACATTTCTTCCTTCTCCTACTGTGTGTGTTGGGGTGGGGGACGCTAGGGTCGTTCCGAGATGCGCTTAGGGGAGCATGTGCGCTGGCAGGGCCCGCGGTTAAGAGGAAGCCCAGTGATTCAGTCACCTGTAAGTAATGCAATACCTGAAACAAGAGCGGTGTGTCCCCAAAATGATGTCCATGATCGTTTTTTAAAATCTAAGGTTTCATTTCTATGATACTTCAAAAGTCTTGACCAGTTACAAAGGCAGAACTCAAAAGACTCTTGTTTCTGAAGTCAGTGGTGGTCAAATTGCGACCTTGGGACCCCAGGTTAAGTATTTACGGCAGTGTAAAGTAAATTTTTATTTTCTTTCTAAAGAGAGTCTGAACGTCATTCAAATGTGAGGAGCATTTATCCGGAGCATTTATTGGGAAAATATTTGAGCGATGACTGTGAGCTGCATACTGCCAATCATTGAGTTCAGTGTTAACAATATGGAAACAGTCCTTGTCCTGATAGATGCTAGTTAATCCTTACCATCTAGTGAGGCAAATAGGGAGCCAGTCAATTAGGGTTATAAGTCCTGTAACAGGTACAGGGTGCTATGAGATTAGGAGGAATACTTTGTCTAAAGTATGAGATCAAGAGTAGCTAGAAGTGCGGCTGAAAAGGTAAGCAAAGAGTGACACCATGAAAAACTTTGTAAACCACATTGATAAGTTTGGAATTTAACCTGACAGCAGTAAGCTTAGAATATTCACTCAGGACAGTATTAATGGACAGTAATGTCCCTCCCTGAAACAGGAAAGACGATAATGTGAAGTGAAGTTGGAGACAGATTATTTCAATTTGTTGCATTTGAGTTTTGTTTTATTATTGTTATTTTGTTTTATTATTGTTATTTTGTGTTGAAATCCTTGTCGTCCCAGTTGGAGTCCAGTGGCACACTCATGGCCACCGCAGCCTCGACCTGCTGGGCTCAGGTGATCATTCCACCTCAGCCTTCCAAGTAACTGAAACCACAGGCATGTGTCACCAGGGCTGAATTTTTTAATTTATTGTAGAGTTGAGGTCTCACCATGTTGCCCAGGTTGGTCTCAAACCTCAGGCCTGTTGTCTCTGCCTCCCAAAGTGCTGGGATTACAGATGTGAGCCACCACACCTGGCGTGAGGTGTCTTTGATTCATAGTGATTGAAGTCACAGAGGTAGGTTACATCTCACATGGGAAATATATAGATTGAAAAAAGGGGCCAGGCCTAGTGGGGCCATGCCTGTAAACCCAGCACTTTGAGAGGCCAAAGTGGGAGGATCATCTGAGGCCAGGAGTTTAGGCAATATAGTGACACCCAGACTGTACCAAAAAATAATCATAAAAATTAAAATTAAAAAAGAGAAAGAATAAAGATGTAATGCAGAGTCACATCTGCCTTCAAGGGAGTGGTGTCTGGGCATCAGTACACAGGTCAGAGAAGCAGGAGACCTGGGGGCATGCAGGATCATTAAATTAAGCTAAGGGAAGAAGAAAGTTTTAAGTGTTTTATTTGCGTTTGGTAAGTTTGAATTCTCTCTCTTTTTTTTTAAACATTGGTTCGACACTGGTTTCACATTTTTTAAAAGTGTCTTCATTGTTTTGTAGGCATCTAGACCTTTAGGATAAAATTGTGGAACTTTATATACATTTGTCCCAATTTTGAACATTTTCTTTAGCAATGACATTATTTGCTGCAAAATAAAGTCTAAACTGGGGAAGAATTTTTGTTTTTTGATCAGTGTATCTCTGTATATTTCTGTTTTGAAAACACAAGGGCATTAGTACAGCAGTTCTAAGTGCTTATAGCAGTTTCCATCTTCTGTAATTTTCTGTTCGTCATCTTTGTGTGTTGTTTTCTGAAGGATCTTGTGTATGGGTCTGTATCTAGGCTTAGTGTATAATGGAGGAGAATGTAACCTCATGAAAACAGCTGTGTCAGTGATACATAACTGTGTTATCCAGTAGCATTGATCCTCTGGGCCTCTAGATAAAAAATCTAAAAGGGATTGTCAAGTTATCTTTTTGTCTAAAGCAATAGTGAAGTTCATGTCTGAAATACTTGTCTAACTTTTAATTGCATTTTTCTTCTTTTACAGGGATTTTCTTACATGTCTGTTTTCCTCAAAATGAGCGTTAGTGTCGCTTTCTTAAGACCTTTTGCCAGGGTGCTGGTGCCATTTGCCCTTCATAGGAAGAGAAGAAATTTATATTCAACAATTCTGCAAAGGTACATGTCTTCCAATATGCCATCTGTTCCCTGTTCCAATAAGGAGACTACGTCCCCTCCTGAACAGCTAGAATTGGATGGATGGAAAGCTACAATGAAGTCTAGTGTGCAAAATGGTGTTTCAATAGTCTCAAGCAGTGAGGATGAAGATCCTCTAGTGGCCACCAGAGAGTTAATTGAGATGTGGAGATTGCTTGGCAAAGAAGTACCAGAGCATATCACTGAAGAAGAGCTCCAAACCATTATGGGATGTGCTTCTAAATCATCCAAAAAAAAATATTTAAAATATTTATTTATTAAAGAAAAAGCAAAGAAAGCTAAACAAATAAAAAAGGAAATGAAGGCAGCAGCTAGGGAAGAAGCAAAAAAAGCCCAGCTTCTGGAAACCACTGAGGAAGATAAAAGACAAGACTTTCTATTTTTGCGACTTTGGGATAGGAGTATGAACATTGCAATGGGCTGGAGGGGTGCCCAGGCCATGCAGTTTGGACAACCTTTGGTTTTTGACATGGATTATGATAATTATATGAAACCAAAAGAACTGCAGAATGCAGTTTCCCAACTTTTAGAAAGTGAAGGATGGAACAGACGAGACGTAGATCCTTTCCATATTTATTTCTGCAATCTAAAAATAGATAGTTCTTATTATGGAGAGTTGGTTAAGCGGTATAGAGAAAAATGGGACAAATTGCTTTTAACAGTGACAGAAAAGTCTTATGTAGATTTATTTCCAAAGGACAATATTATATATTTAACTGCAGATTCTCCCAATGTTATGACTACTTTCAGGCATGACAAAGTTTATATAGTTGGGTCTTTTGTTGATAAGAATATGCAGCCAGGCACATCCCTAGCCAAGGCAAAACGGCTGAAGCTGGCAACGGAATGCCTTCCATTAGATAAATATTTACAATGGGATGTTGGAACTAAAAATCTCACCTTAGATCAAATGATGCGTATTTTGTTATGCTTGAAAAACACTGGTAGTTGGGAAGAGGCTTTGAAGTTTGTTCCAAGGAGAAAACACACTGGTTATCTGGAGATTTCTCAGTATTCTCAAGAGTTTGTCAACAGGTTGAAGAAGGCAAAGACTTTCGGTTCATTTTCGAAAGTTTCTCGGAACGTACGCACACAAAAGGTGACTTGAGTGAGAAAATGGGATAGCTTAAAACATAAACGGCATTATAGTTCAATTAGTGTATTTCTTCCTGAATGGAATTCATTTTCTTTTGAAGGTAGCCTCTCCCAACTAACTGCAAGGTTGTGTCTTTTCCCAATTAAATATCTGTAAAACTTTGGGATTATATTTTGTTTACTGTAAAAACACAATAGTTTGGAAAAGTAAAAATCAAGTTTACAAAACAGAATAGTCATTAAATGATCCTGGTAAAACAATTGTACCATTGGTGTAACTTTTTAATGGATTCTTTGAATCTCAGACTTCCTTTTTCTTTCTGTTTTTTTTGGAACAGGATCTTGCTATGTTGCTCAGGCTGGTCTTGAACTTCAGGCTCAAGTGATCCTCCTTCCTCAGTTTCTCAAATAGCTGTGATTATAGGCATGCGCCAGTGTACCCAGTCTATTTTTCTTCTTAGATGCTTTTTTTAATCCATGTCAACCACTACCCTTTCATGAAAAATTGATACAGAAGATATTTTTAAACTTCAAGTGGTGATTCACTTATTAAAGTAAGCATTGCAAAGTGCTGGGATTATGGGTGTGAGCCACTGCACCTGGCCAGAAAATAACTTTAAGGACAATAATTTGGGCCAGGCACAGTGACTCACGCCTATAATCCCAGCGGAGGCTGAGGCTAGAGGATTGCCTGAGACCAGGGATTTGAGACCAACCTGGGCAACTTGGCAAGGCCTTGTCTCTACAATAAATCAAAAAATTATCCGGGTGTGGTATCACATGCCTGCAGCTCCAGTTACTCAAGGCTGCAGTGGAAAGATCGCCTGAGCCCAGCAGGTTGAGGCTGTGGTGGCCGTGGTGCACTCCAGCTTGAATGACAGAATGAGACCCCAACTTAAAAAAAAAAAAAAAGAACAATAATTCATTGTAGACTACCTGTTCCATTAACATTTTTGAAAACGAGATAGAAATAATATGCTGAGTATTCCTACCTAATTTCTGAATTGGAAATTAGCACAAGATATGCTTTCCGACGCATTCTTAAAGCAGGACCTAATCTTGTACCAAGTACCTACTCTGTGCCAGACTGTATGATACGCATTTTACACGAATTACTTAAACATTAAGTTATAAATACTATGTTTTCACAGATTGCATGCCAGCCCTTTTTACAGATAAAGAAAATTTATTCAGAATTTTTCAGCCTTTAAGTATAGACTCAGAATTCCAGAGATCTGTCTGACTTTAGAATCCCAACTTTTAAACTATACCTAACCCAAGCCTGTGAGATCAAAAAAAGGCTTGAGAAAGTGGTGTAAATTTAGACCTCACGATAAGTATGATGTGATTGATTTTCAACTGTTAGACCCTACTAAATAGCAAGGTGCTAGCATTTGAACCGCTTAAGACATACTGGAGGAAAAACATGGTGGTTAAGAACAAGAGGAAAAGATTGCCTGGCAGGATGGGGACTAGAGTAAAGCAAGCAAGGCTCTAACTTTGCTTAGCGTCTTGAGATGTTAGTTTTCCACATCTGTAAAAGCATAGTCTTGACACATATCTAATATGGTGTCTGGCATCTAAGTGTTCAGTAAATGTTAACTAATCCAGACTATAAAGTTCAAGATGTATGGAACTTCTTTCTTTTTTTTTTTTTTTTTTTTTTGAGTTGGAGTCTCACTCTTGCCCAGACTGGAGTGCAGTGGCCACTCCCGGCTGCTGCAATCTCGACCTGCTGGGCTCTAGTGATCCTTCTGCCTCAGCCTTCCGAGTAGCCAGAATTACAGGCACGGGCTACCATGCCTGGCTGCTTTTTAAAATTTATTATAGAGATGAGTTCTTGCCAAGTTGCCCAGGCGGGTCTCGAACCCGCGGGCTCATGCAATCCACTCACCTCAGCCTCCCAAAGCGCGGGAGTACAGGTTGAGCCACCGAGCCTGGCTTGGAATTTCTTTTTTGAGTTGGGGTTGCACCCTGTTGCCCTGATGGAGTGCAGTGGCACCATCCATCAAGGCTCACTGCAACCTCAATCTCCAGGGCGCGGGTGATCCTCCCACCTCAGCCTTCCAAATAGCTGGGTCTACAGGAATGTGCCACCATGCCAAATAGATTTTTTTGTAGAGGTGAGTCTCGCCATGTTGTCAGGCTGGTCTTGAACTCTCCTGGGCTCAAGCGATCTTCCCACCTTGACCTTCAAAGTGCTGGTATTACAGGCATGAGCTGCTGTGTCTGGCCTGGCATTTCTAATACTAGTACCTGCAAGTTATTGTTTCTTTTTGAAGAATAAGTTCTTAGTTTTTCTGTGTAATAATATGCTAAGGTTTTCCAGTGATGCAAGCACTCGAATTTAAAAAAAAAAAAGGTTGATAGCAGTGGCTCACGCCTGTAAGTAGGCCCAGCACTTTGGAAGACAGGCATGAGGATTCCTTGAGCCTGGGAGCTCTAGACCAGCCTAGGAAACATGGCAAGACCTCATCTCTACAAAAAGTTAAAATGAAACCAACTGGTAGTCATACTCTGATTGTTCAGTACAGTTGAACATGCAAAAAAGAAACAAAACAAAAAGACCATTGTCCTCCCTAATAGTCAAGCAGTAACTGATTTCTAAGATTCCTTCCCTCTTACGTAGATACATCACAATAACAGGCTCAGCTGATCCAGAGTTTGAAATAATGCTGATTTAAATTTTTGAAAATGTTAGAATTTGGAACTTAGTAAAATCATGAATGCTGCTTCAATTTTTCCAAACTAGATGGTCTGATTTCCTAGGCACTAACTAGGTGGTCATGGCTTCTTTCTTATCTCCAATACTCAACTCTAGAAGTATTCTTCCTCCTTGTAGGTAATTTTTGTTGCCTGTGTTCTAGTTATCTTCCCTTGCCTGGAGACATGTTTTCATGTACAGTAAATCCTCACTTAAAGTCAGTAGGTTCTTGGAAACTGCAACTTCAAGTGAGACACATAATGACGCCAGTTTTACCACAAGCTGATTGATATAAATAAGAATTAAGTTCCTACTCACATTTATGGTCACAAAACATAACTAAACTTCTAAAGACTCAAAACACTTCTGATATTAAACATTGAAATAAATGTGAATTGTACACACATTTAAGAAAGATTAATTAAAACAAGTTGGACATGGTGGTGCTTGCCAGCTACCAGGAATGCTGAGGCAGGAAGATCTCTTGAGGGCAGAATTTTGAAGCTGCTGTGAGTTATGCACGTTTGTGCATAGACACCACTCCAGCCTGGGTACGAGAGACCCTATCTTTCCAACTCAAATAAATAAAATCAAGTGGCTGGGGGTGGTGGCTCAAGCCTATAATCCCAGCACTTTGGGAGGCCAAGGTGAGAGGGTTGCCTGAGCCCACGGGTTTGAGGCCAGCCTGGGCAACATGATGATCTAGATGTCCTCTCTACAATAAATGAAAAAAAATTAGCTGGGCATGGTAGCGCATGTCTGTAGTTCCAGATCCTGGAAGGCTGAGGCAGAAGGATCACCAGACCCCAGCAGGTCGAGGCTGGGGTGACCGTGAGAGTGCCACTGCACTCCAGCCTGGTTGATGGAGTGGGACTCCAACTCAAAAAAAGAAAAAAATCAAGTAAACAGGTATGGTGGCTCACACCAGTAATCCCAGCACTTTGGGAGGCAGAGGCAAGAGGATTGCCTGAGCCCAAGGACTCTAGACTAGCCTGGGCAACATGGCGAGACATCGTCTCTACGATAAATTTTAAAAATAGCTGAGTGTGGTGGTGCATGTCTGTAGTTCCCACTACTTGGAAGGCTGAGGTGGAAGGATCACCTAAGCCCAGCAGGTCAAGGCTGTGATGGCTGTGAGCATGCCATTGCACCCCAGCCTGGGTGACAAAGTGAGACTTCAACTGAAAAAAAAAAAAGATGATTATTTACTCATTTGTTCTATTTCAGGGTCTTGGATGGTCAGAACCTGTCCTGGTATCTCAGGGCATGAGACAGGGACCCATCCCTGAATAGTACAACCATACTCAGACCAGGACCATTTAGATAAGTCGGTTCATTTAATGTGCACAACTTTGGGATGTGGGAGGAAATTGGAGTACCCAAAGAAGCCCATGCAAACATGGGGAGAGCATGCAAACTCATGTAGGCAGTGGCACTGACTAGGAATTGATTTTTTTTCTCTTCAGTTATAATGAAACGATGTTGAATGAAACCATGTCCTGAAGACCTGCTGTAGTACCATCTCTACTTCTCTCCTTTGGCCATTTTCAAACATGCTGGCAACTTCCCAACTTTTATAATTAAAAATAATTTTAACACAAAGAAGCCTTCACTTGCTCTACTACTATTACACAGTATAACCTAAAATCTAAGCCAGATTACCCAGAAAGTATTCAGAACACACCGTCCATTTCCTCTACAACACTGCTCTCCAATAGAAATATACTGCAGTCTACATAAATAGGTGAAATTTAACACATTTTACTGACCCAAATAAATCCAATAAACAGCTCTAGAGGACTCCTTGGTAACCCCGGGATCTTCTGTGCTTATATTACAGTTCCCAGCCACTATTATCATTTCAATTTGTAATCAGTATAAAAACGAATGAGATTTTGTGGGTATTTTCATTAATCCTTCAAAATCAGGTGTGTATTTCAATGGTTATAGCATATCTTAATTCAAATGCCAATTTGAATGCTGGCTTCTCTTTCTTTTTTTTTTTTTTTGAGTTGGAGTTTTGTTTTGTTTTGTTTTGAGTCACTGTTTCACCCAGGCTGGAGTGCAATGGCACGGCCACTGCAGCCTCGACCTACCTGCTAGGCTCAGGTAATCCTTCCACCTCAGCCTTCAAGTAGCTGGAACTACAGGCATGTGCCACCATACCTGGCTAATTTATTTCTTTATTTTTTACTGTAGAGATGAGGTTTCCCCATGTTGCCCAAGCTGGTCTCGAACCCTGGGGCTCAGACAGTACTCTCATCTCCACCTCCCAAAGTGTTGGGGTTACAGGCATGAGCCACCACACTTGGCAAATGCTGACTTTTCAATGGTTAAAGTGAAATGTTCTACAAAAACGATAACGGGTGTTTTCAGATTTTTAAATTTAAGTTTAAATTTAGGATGGTGCAATGGCTCATGCCTCTAATCCCAGCACTTTGGAAGGCCAAGGTGAAAGGATTGCTTGAGTCCAGGAGTTCAAGATCAGCCTGGGTAACATAGCAAGACCCCATTTCTACCAAAAAAAATTAGGCATGGTGGTGTGTGCCTATAGTCC